TTAAAGAGTCGAGAAGATCGGGTGCTGCAGCAGATGATGTTTATATACCACATTTATGGTATTATGATCTACTTTTATTTATAAAGGATCAGGAAATCCCTAGACAATCCATTAGTAATATTGAAGATGTTGGAAGCGACAGTGAAATGGACAGTTGCCATTCAGAAATGGAAAATGAAGACGCTCTAGAACTGGAGGTAAGGCCTGATTTATTTATTTGACTTTTACTTCCCACGCCAACTGGAGAGGAAAAGAGGAAGTATTGTAATAATAATAATAATAATAATAATAATATAATTGCTTTTATTGCTCATGTAAGTACAGAAAAAGAAAAAGTACATAAATCTGATGCAGTGAGCAAACGGCAAGGTTCGCTTGATTGACAACCATTAGCTGTCAATCCGCGCTCTTCCACCTAACCAAATCGCGAATAATTTCGAAAATGAGGTAATATTTTTATGGATGGTATATAATATAACACATATATATAAAAAACATGGATATGCTTGAACCGATAAAATCAATGCGTGGGAAGTGCGGAGTCAACCTACTTGATGCCATTTTTTGATTTCATGTAAGAAATAATGAAGTAGTACACATATTAATATAGAGGGTAATAAAAAATCGTCTTGATATTTTGATTCGCTTTACTTCAACTTAAGTACTTAGAAGGTATAATACATAAATTAGCAAATCATTCTTTCCTGCCAAGCTACGGATCCCTCATTATTAAAGTAGTTCAGAAATAACTGTCTAACTTCTTGTGCATCCTTGTTTGCTCTTCTATTGTAACCCGTTGCAAACTAGTCATCTGATTGGGTTGCAAGCCTAATTCAACAGTGCCATCTTCATGGTTCTCCCTGTATAAGTTGTTATCAGGTGCATACACAGTGGCAGTTCTTCTTCTCAGAAAATTATGCAGAACACAACATGCCATCACTACTTTGTCAATTGCTTTTAAGTTAATAGATATAGCTGTGTGGAATATTCTAAATCGAGCAGAGAGTATACCGAAGCATTCTACTCTACATCCTTGCCCTTGAGAGACGATAATTGAAAATTTTCTTATCATGATCCAGTCTCTCTGGCTAAATGGTTTCAAGAAATCACAGCGGAGTGCAAACGCTTCATCACCTATAAAAACAAATGGCAATGCTTCTTTACTGTTCATTGTTCTTGTTGGAGGTGGTATGGAGAGTTTCCTATCTTTAAGCTTCCGGTAAAACTGGCTGTACTCAATAACTCCTCCATCAGATATGCGGCTGTTGATCCCGAAATCACACATAATGAACTCGTAATTTGCGTTGACCACTGCCAAGAGCACTAGGCTGTATGCCCTTTATAGTTATAAAAATATGAACCACTTCCGGTGGGCGGTTTTATATTGACATGTTTTCCATCTACCGCCCCCAGGCAGTTCGGACAGTTGCATCTCTTTTCGAAGTCGTCTGCAATATTTCTTCATTCATTCTCGGTCGTTGGGAACTGAAAAAAATCAAAAATATATTTTTTTGCATAAAACTAGATATGTAAATGAAAGTCAAGAGAGTGAGCTGAGCTCAGTACCAAGTCCACCAATATCCAGACCTTGTAGTAGTCAAAATGTACGTCCAATTTCCAATCCAGAAAACATTGTACCGCTGCCTGCAGCTGGAAATCGGGGAAAAAATAAACGCAAGACAAACTCTGATAACCAAGAAGCAGACAACGTGTTGGCGGCGGTAGGAGAAAGACTACGTTCCAAGAATGACGATCAATTCGCCATTTTTGGGAAAAATGTCGCAGCAAAATTGAAAGGACTCCCAAAAGAAACCAGATTATACACTGAGAAACTCATAAATGATCTGCTGTTTGAGGCTGAAATGGGTAACGTGTCCAGAAATACTAGGATTGTTTCGTCAGGAGACAATGAACAGAATCAAAACAATTTTTCCAGTAATAGCGTTGTTGATGCTTGCTACCCTAATCAATATAACTACAATTCAACTCAACCTATAAATATATCAGGCACACAAAATCAAGCTCAAACTTATTTGCTACCAGCTATGCCACTTAAGCCCCAGTGCCATCAAAGCCATCCTCAACAAATCAACGAGGGTAGCTCCACAGTTTCAACTTATTTTGGATCGTATAATCCTCTAAGTGAAGCTAACATTTAAGGTCCAGTTTATATTTACATATAAGAGTTCCATTAGATTAGCGTTGTATGTATAAAAATAGAATACTTGAGAGTTTGTGTTTGTGTTTATTTTGTTTATTTTACTACTAAGTAATATACTCTGTACCCACCTTCATATAGTCTTTCTTCAGTACTTCATAAATAGCGCTGCATGTCTCTGGAATTATGTTGCACAATGACTGTGGAGAAATCAGGGTAGAAAATTTTAAATCTTCATAATTCCTCCTAGTGGCCAAATACCTCAATGTGGCCGACAGTCTTTCATGTACCGATATAGCGGGTCTCATCGGTGTGTTCTGTTTTTCAATAAGTGGCGAAACCCTCTAGGAGTTTTATATAACTATCTTCATCCATCCGGAGGTAGTTTCGCCAATCATCAGGTTCTAATCGTAGCTCTTCAAGTAAATTGATGTGAGAATATTGATCCCGCTTCAAAAGCCAATCTTTAACCCATTTTCTTCGTGGCTGACGTCTCTTTTTCAATTGATGTTTTCTTTTTTTCACAATACAAACGCACGCCACTGCTAGTAAGTTAACTCATCATCGCTAGACATGGCGACAAACTACAACATCGACGTGGAGAAAACTGACACACAAGTCTCTATGTGTGGAGCTAAAAGTAGATCGACGGGTATCACTGCGCAAACATCGCCGTGCGTTCATGTCTTAATACATGTTCGTGTGTCTGTAGGCCCCTATAGAAGGTGTCGAGATCGCTATCGATACTTCACGAACGCTCCCGATATCGACCAAAGCTCTTCATTAAGGTCACAGTCGCTTACGCACAGCCGCGTAACTCTGGTTGCATAAGCGTTAATGTTTCTGGACACCCAGAGTCGTAGTTATACGAGCGCCTTACAATAGTAGTAGCTTTCTCATCCTTGAGGTGAAGGACCATATATCTATCATTTGTAAGGAACTAGACCAACGTTTTTCACGGGTAAGGTAGGATATCAGTAAGAGACATGTTGTTGCAGGTGTATTATGGTAAATGGAAAAACAACATTGAAGTGGCTGTGAAAACGTTGCGCGAAGGTACTATGTCCACGTCTGCGTTCCTGCAGGAGGCGGCTATCATGAAGAAGTTCCGACACAAACGGTTGGTAGCGCTGTATGGGGTATGTAGCGAGCAAGAGCCGATTTATATTGTACAGGAGTACATGACGAAAGGTATGATTGTCGGTAAAAGATTTATGACCAACATTTTCCACCTTTTTTCTATTATGCAGGGGCCGCATACAAGCTATTTCGTCTTAAAATTTTTGGTTTTCAATGTACAGGTATCTTAGAGTTATCATTTTTTTTTATAATATGTCAAAGGTCCATGTGCCGGTTTTGTTGAATTTCGGCAGTGTAATAAAACCCTAAATTAGCCCTAAAAATCTACGCCACGGACTTTCTGAAAATAAAATTCTGTAGTATGTTGTGTTAAATTACTTTGGTTGAAAGTGCCTATCTGAATCTGAAATAAAATGTAGGTCTATAGATTAAAAAATGGATGTATAGGCAACCACATAGTTATGTATCACCATATATAAATGAAAATATTTTCAAGGTAAATTACCCCACTTAATTTCTGTTGTGTCTTGAAGGGCCTATGTTATGGTTTAATGCAGATCAACATCCATGCCTGAACATTTAATAGAAGCTAATGTGGGTATTTAATTTTCATTGCAGGTAGCTTGCTAGACTTCTTAAGACAAGATGAAGGCCAGGGTTTGGAATTCGAAGAACTAGTGTATATTGCATTCCAAGTGGCCAGTGGAATGGAGTACCTGGAATCCAAACAACTAATTCACAGAGACTTAGCTGCAAGAAACGTATTGATAGGAGAGAATAACATAGCCAAAATCTGTGACTTTGGTCTTGCTAGGGTCAGAAGACAATGAATACTGTCCTAAACAAGGATCCCGGTTCCCAGTCAAATGGACCGCACCAGAAGCCATCGTTTATGGAAGGTAGGTTTGACATATACAGGATGCATCCTAACTACGGTACGAAACAGAACATCGGTTTTTAAAAAAGGTCGTATGAACATATCTGCGCGGCTTTGCTGCGTTTTTGAAATACATGGCGATGAAGTTTCTAAAATGGTATTTGTATAAAATATCATAAAGGTCCGTAAACCCATTTGGTTGGAATTTGGTGCACTTATTTGACGTAA